GATCACGCGGCCCCCATCCTGGAAGGCGAGTAGCACCGACAGCACCCAAGCGTTTCGTGATCTCCTTCATACTCCTCTGCCAGGTGAAAATGGGCACAACCACAGACTCTCCGCAGCTGCCTGGGGCACATCCCTTTCCCTAAATGCAAGCAAACAGATCAGACAAGCGCTGATGGAGGATTTCACTCCTATCTTTGGACAATGCGGTGGGAGGTCGTCTGGACCAGAATCTCAGCGGCGCTTGATAGAACACATGCAGTCATAAACCTCCGAGGCAGTCTACAATCAAGAGTTCTACGTTAGCTGTGAGCTCCAGATGAGGGCAGGTGATGGCCATGACAACTAGTGTTCGAAGTGTTGGGCCCACCGGTCGAGATGTCCTTCTTCATTCGAGATGTTCACACTATTCTGATCCTTGATGACTTCTCCCACAGGTAGTTCCCGGGGACCGGTGGCACAGATCAACTGGAATAATCTTCGGACATTATCAGCTTTCTGAACCTCTTCCATTTCCTTGGCTTTCTGTGTTCACCACACTTCACGGTTGGCTTATACGCTCGCCTCCATTTGACGTCTGATAGTTCGTCACATCAAGTTGTGTTCGGGACCGGCTGGGATATTTCTCCGGGATATAAGCAGTCTGATATTCAGTAATTGAGTGCGCCTGGTGGTGCCGTGCCACAGGCAAAGTTCCCAGTACTATGCAGAGAGGTGACAACCTCGTCTCAGTATGAGTTCACATCCGATGGTGGAGCTTTTGGAAGAGACCCCAGAAAACGATTCTGGTAAGTTCGTTTAACATCCGGATCTGCCAGTCTCTTAGTTGTCAATCGATCTGTCCGCACCTTACGTGGCCCTTAAAACGTAGGGAGAAGCCACTCCGGACGAGCGCGTGGTCAGAGTCCACAAATGTGTTCCAAAACGATCGGCAGTCAACTATTGGTTCGCGCCAATGGTAATTGATGGCAATGTTATCCATTTGAGTTTGTGGCCGGCCTACCGTTGGAGGACACCATGAAGCTAGAAGACTTCGGCTATTTCGGAAGTAAGTACTGCATAAAAACAGCCTGCGATCAGCGCACAACTGGAACAATCGTACGCACCGAGTCCAATCCATGTCGACCACCTAATTGAGTCTCAGATATGCTAAGCCTGCTCACTTGTACATTCACATCTCCGGTAATCACCAAGATGTCTGAGCTTTTAGCTCGTCGCAGCAGGGCATTCAGGGTGTCGTAAAATTTGTCTTTGACGGAGTCGGAGCTACCGTCAGTTGGGGCGTAGGCAGGCACGGTAAACAGACACCTATCAACTTCCCGCTTGGGCGACTCCTTCACATACGTTACCAGCCAAACCGCACAGAGACGACTATCAACAGGTATCCAGTCAAGTAAAGATACTTCCGCCCGGTGACTTGGGACGATACCAACCCCTGTACATCCCGGCGCAGCAACCTCTAGAGTTGCGTAGCTGGAAGCGAGCGGAGACTTATGGGGCGGTTAGTTCAATCACTGTGCTTGCATCTTGGATTCTTGTTTCTGAGACATAGCGAGTCGTGTGAGAACAAGAGAAGCTTGCAGTCCTGCTTGCTTCAGATTGCGCACATTGAAGACGGCCAGATAAACTGGGTATCGAGGCTTGGAGACTGACTTGCAGATACCTGAGAATGTCGGCGGCATGTGACGAGCAAATGCTGCACGCGAAACTGATGCGAGACGAACGGAGTCATCAGTTCTAAGTGCTGGGCCTACAAGATGGGAGTTGTTAATGGGGTCGGGAGAGGGGGAATAAAAAGTAAGTGAAAGGGAAAGAAAGGAGGCGTCAGCAATAGCCTGTTTTCGTTTACCCGCCCTGCTGTACGCAGCAAGTAAGGCGACCCGGCAGATGGTACCACGCGGCGGCCGACATGGCATGAGAGTATTGTTGGTTGTGTCATGGTTGTACGAAGGCTGGGATATTATCAGGGCGCCCACACCTAAACAGGAGGAAGATTATGGTCCTCAACCAAATCCTTTAGTTCAAAAGCCTAACCGCAAGGCAACGGTGTTTGGTGGGAAAAGCAAATGCATTACCATTTCTATGGAGCAAGTCGCCACATACTCCAACCCCCAACCTGGAGGGTCAGAAGACTGTGTTTGTCAGGCCTCTAACTATTGATCAATCTGGTATGAGAGACTGTGAGTGTCGCGGAGACACTCCTCAGTATAGATCAGTGGATCGCTGAGGTGCGCAAACCGTCACACTACGGTAAAGTCCAGTCTCTTCGTGACAGGACGACTTGAAACCCTGAAGTTCAAATGCCAGTACCCTTTGAATGGATATAGCCGCTGGAAAAGAGTGGTCCATGTACTAGCACCTTCTTCCGAATGACGAAAAGTGCGTCCATATGTCATTCGGAGGGGAACTCAACGAACGCCTTTATCGTGCATGGTGAGAGTGAACCAGAAGACATCACGAGGATGGACGCTGAAAAGGATTTGGGTGTCTGGCTCTCTTCAAATACATCCTCCTCACTGCACCATGAGAAATCGGGTCAAACGGCATTCGCTGTTAGTTCTGCACGTCTCCCGTATTACTCGCATGGACTTCCAGCCATTCTATGGGACGTAAGTAAGACCGCTTCTTGAATAAACCAACCATATTGTCCACTAAGGACGCAACAAAGGCGAAATTCTTATTGAGCGTGTCCAACGAGTCGGCCTGGAATCCGTGGACTATGAAAGGTGTCTCGCGGTGCTTGACCTCTTTCCCTGGAGTATCGTCGACTTCGAGCAGACCTAATAATTACTTATGTCCTATATGAAAAACCTTTGGTTAACAGGTTTTTCACCGTTGATCATGCCAACACGTGGCGAGGACATGGTAAGATTTTCAAGTTCAGAGCGCACACTTTGATTAGGCAAAATTTTTATCATTTCTGATAGTTGCTGCGTGGAATAACCTTCCTCCGAAGGTTGCCAACGCTCCATCTAGTACCCATTTCAAAGCACCGTTAGACGCGCTGGCAAGCTTACTGCCGCGCGCTGAGAACTTAAGGAGCAGTGGCTTTCGTCGTGACAGTTACAGCAACCAATGCTGCTTTTGTTTTTGTATAGTCGCAACGTCATCAGTATCAAAGACAGCAACCTAAACATGGACGCTGGTGCTTCACGATCGCTCAACATCATCATCATTAACATTATAGACAGAAACACCAGTGTTAACACTGACGTACCACTGTCGTGAGTGAAAAGGAAAGCCCGGACGGGGAAGAGAACTGATGCTAAACTATCGTAAGCATTCATAGTTGCCTTCACCTCCAACCGCTCAACAAGACAGTCTGTGAAGAAAAGGACAGCACGAAGACCACTGACACAGGGACCCCATCCTAGAAGGCGTACCGCATCGAAAATACCCGAACCTTTCGTCTTCTCATTCGTACCCACCTGAAATGTCCATGTTGTCTGCCTCAACGTCTGCACCATTGCACAATGGCCTCCATCACGTAATGGAGGCAAGGAGAACAGTTGTCTCGGTTGACAGAATTCTGGCATTTTTAGTAATGGTCGATCCTCCGACTGAAGTAGCCACTGCGCAGCCAAATACCTGTTTTCTAATTACCCTGTTACGAATTCGTTGGTGCCATTCGACATTGGCGATCCTGAAACACCTTAGATCTTCTGTCAGAAGACACCATGTTCCGCAACCATAAAACAACTCAGCCCTGGCTGTGGTGTGGCTCACACAACGCAGTTGTAATAACGGTAACACTTCAGTTCAGTTCTCGGCCTGGGCAACAGGCATTAGGAGAACACTGAACCGTGGTTGGCTATTGGGTTCACGCCTTCAGCCAATAAGAACTGGCTTTTCATGGATTCACGGTTTCACGGATTGATACACAGGATCGACGACTTTGCCCAAATTTCCCGGAACGGTTTTGTCCTTGTCGTTCAGCGGCTATCGTTCACCTGAAAGGCACAAGTGAAAAAATGGTGTAGCACTGCTCTTTATGCTCTCAGCGCGGGGCAGTATGCTTGCCAGCGCGAGGATTCGCATGAATAAATGTCTAACGGTGCTTTAAACTGGGTTCTAGAAGGAGCGTGGACAACCGTCGAAGGAAGTTCATTCCACGCAGCTACTACCCGGAAGGAATATAAAATTTACCTAATGAATGTGTGCGCTCTGAGCTTGAAAACCTTGTTACCATGTCCCTGCCGTGTGTTTGCTGGGTCAACGGTGAAAAACCTGTTTGTCAAGCTTTGTTCAAACAGGGCATAAGTAAGAATCAAGTCCCCTCTTTGGCTTTGATACTCCAGGAGAAGGAGATCAAGCGTCGCGAGACGAATTCTGTAGTCCACGAATTTGAGCTCGGCAACCATTCTCGTGGCGGCTCGCTGGACACGCTCAATGAGGGTGACGTCGTTCTAGCGTCCTGAGTAGGCAACTTGGTTGGCGTCTAACGTGGGCCCCGTAGAGTATTTAGAAGTTCATGCTAGTAATACTAGAGAAGGTGAGTCTGATTATCCGTGAAGTGGCGAATGCTTTTCGGGCCGGTTTCTCATGGTGCAGTGAGAGGGACAATTGTGAGGGGACCAAAGTATTCAAATCCTTATTGGTATACGTCCTCTTGATATCTTCTGATCCTTTCTCACCATGCATGACAAAATCATTCGCTGAGTCTCTTCCAGCGTCATCCAAAGGTGGGTTAGCAAGTGGCCTAATTGTGGGGCGGGTGCTCTAACCACAACAGCGCCTAACTGCATGCGGTATTTTTCCTAATATCGTTTCCTGGTTGTTTTTTATGCAGCTACAAAGTCGAAGATTAACCCACGATGACCTCACTCGCCTGCGGATTTTGGCTGTACAGCGTCGTGTTCGTAGTGCACGTTCGTGCTGAGCCCCCAACCCAGCAGCGATCAGAAATGTCCTAGACTCATCCCTGGACTCAACTCACTCGGTCAGGCGGACGATAAGCACGCATTTGTCTCATTGTTTGCACATTTGTTTGCGTGCCGGATTAATCTGACTCTCGCATAGCACTTTGCCGCGCCGGCATAGGATTTATCTGGGAATCCACTCAGGAATTCCACCACTGTGTTTCCGAATCAGCGCATGCCTTCGCTGAAGCAGCTAGTCATTCCCTGACGCCACTTGAACTGTTCTTTCACTCTCACTCTTCAGGGACCCTTTTGCATTTTTGTAGCCGGATAGTGTTATCTGGTGTTCGAAGCTTGCGTTGGAGAGGTGTATCTGATAATGACATGCCGTCGGGCGACGCGGACTTAGTGTCTCCCGATATTCCGACAGGAATCCCTGCCAAATCCCTGTCAGACCCTCCTCTTTGGACTTCCAAATTGCGCGTATCTGCAAACGCTAATGATGTTAACCGACCACCAACTTTGCACACGATAATATTTGGAATTTCAATGCGAGTGAACAATCTTCCGAATTCCAGTAGTGTAATGGCAGCCGTGAAGCTGTTCGTTGGGTCAATTTTCAGCCACGTGCTATAAGCCATCACTACGACCAAAGTATTGACCTCGTCCTGGACTCGTCCTTGACTCGTCCTGGATAGCAGATTTTAAGATTGGGCCAGTGTTCGGTCGGTTGTGGCCACTGGTGAATTAGATGCTTCATCACAATGCAAAAATGCCTATTGGCCTCAGTGGTAACGGTAACTACGCTTCTAAGTGTTCTAGTGCGATGGTGCCTGCACACATGTGTACACCAACAGTTTACGGAAGCGCGTCATCATACTGAAGTTCATAAATGCAAGGCGACGCGCTGTGTCAACAAACGCAAAGCGTTCCTGTCCGCCAAGGAGAGTGTTGCAATTTGGACACACGATATGAGAGAATGACCCAGGTGTCGCCTCAGTATCTGAGTTTCTACATTTTGTTGATTCGCTAACGCGTTTTGGGAACCCGCGAAACACTTAATGACGCTCTGAGCTTGCTCGGAAAGTTTTCGAATGCAAAGTCCTTAGCTGATGATGCCGTGATCACGGTTTTTCAGAAAGTCCCATTTTGTAGAACTCTGTTTAAGCCTATTCAGGCTCTACTTTGAGCGGAATTCTTATGTTTAAGGACCTACATGGCTGAACACAATGGTTGGTTAGGATGGTAGGAAAATTTTTGGAAAAGTTGGTTCCTTCATGTTCTTCGTCCTGTACGGATTTAAAAATGCCTTTACAGAGCACATGAACCATGGTTATTTCGTATTTCTCCGCGCAAACCCAAAATGTATGGAAAAGTTTGCTATAATTGCGGCAATCTTCCTGCGTAAAAGGCCAAGAATTTTGTCGCAGCTAGTAAGGTCGATGAATTTTTGTTATGACGGGCATCACATGCTGTAATAAGTTCACGGTAAGGTTCTATATGCACCGATATTCCGACTCCTTAATTGTGTGGCGGGAGGAGTTGGCTGTTTTATAAGAAATGCAAACGGACATTATGATAGACTGGCCAGCACTTCGGAGCTGGGGCACAAAA